GCAATGCGCCCCTTTACCATGTATAAACAAGGACATCTCGTCCTCTACATTTTCCGCGAGGAGCACATTTCGTGCCAGGATTTCGCGAGAGATATATCTTCTGCGCGAGAGTAAAAGTAAGAACAAAGGCCAGAGTTATCATTCGAACATGTGACATTTTATGCTACAATTTAGCATACACGATGGAAGCTGTAGGAGGTGTTTCGAGATGTGATGGTTTGAAATTGGAAGCGAGCGTCAGATGCGAATTTTTCAATTCCGCCTCTTCCTACCTGCCCCCTCTCTTATTATGATTGTTTGTGCACGCAGCACAGCGCGGGCGGCGCGTTCCGGTGTAACCTTGTGTGTTGCAGATGGCATTGACCGGCATTTACAGGTGCATCCATAACGTTTAACAGTTTAAGATAAGATAACCAGTTTATTTTATTCGCTTTATCGCTTACAACATTAGACACAAAAATAACAAGGTAAATAGAAAACCATAGCAAGAAGGATGGCCCGAAAAGACCATACGCCGTCACCAACGTCTAAGCCATCCTCTAGAAAAAATTATAAATGCAGAAGTAAGCGGGCAGCTGTCGTCACGGAAGAAATATAGTAAAATATTGTTCTAGGAGTAATTTACTATAATATTTTAGCTATAAGTGAACTTTAAATGTGTAGCCGAAAACAGTGTGGAATAAATACAAGTATGAGTGCCCGAAATTACATGATACCAATTGGTTGCATGTTTATGAGATATAAGTAGAGATAATTTCCAAAAATTAAACAAATTTAGAGCAAAATATTTACAGTAATGACCGTATAAATAACCGTCTGAGATGTTAATTTATAACAAAACAGGCTAAGTGCATACGTTTATGATACGATATAGGCCGAATACAGTTAGAGAAACGAGACTGGTACATTTCGCTGCTTTATTTACCATTATTTTTTTTATTTGAGACGTTCCAGTGCCTGGCCTGAGAGGGTCTATGTCCCCCGGGGGTACTTGCCGGAACGTACCCTGGGTACGCGCGTCCGCGCTTTATACCGGAACGTACCCTGATACTTATCTAATATGCGGACCGTTCCCTCGCCTACTCTACTAAACGGGATCTTAGGGAGTCGCCTACGCCTATCCCTACCCTAACCCGAACCCAAACCCTACCCTAAAATCCTAACCCTAACCATATCAAATAGTGAGCAGGGTACGTTTCCGGATACCGGACCGTTTACCCAGGGTACGTTCGGCAGTACGCTGGGGGACATCAGGACCCTTATGAGCTTACTGGCCCCCCCTATAGCTCCAAGAGCGGTATTGCTAGGGTTAGAATTACGTTTTCAACATTTGGCTGCAGTAAACACTGTAGTTGTCTTATTTTGCCAAAGAACCTTCACATGTGCATATACATATGAATCGGTATACATCACCTTCTTGTAACCATCAGTGTGCTACGCATGCGATGGTGGTACTTACCAGGGGCGGACGAAATTGCACAAAATTTATGATTTGACACTATGTGTTACTATCATTCCGACTGTGCTAAATTCGCAATGGTATCAAACATGGGTGGAAATTAAAACGATCTGAGTTCTCATGTAAACACCCTACATCGCTGAGAACATGATCATCTAAGCGTTTTCTAAAATGGCCACGCATTCGTGAACATCGTTTCACTTGCTTTGGTGCTGTAATTGCGTGAGAGCCATCGTGGCAGTCTTGTATATTTCTGGTATTTTCTAGCGAGGTCTTTCCGTTTTCTGGCGTTTTCCGTGTCTCTCTTCCATCTTGATCTTCATGCGCGTGTAAACATGGGGGTAAGCTGATTGAGAAAGTTGATATGCTGCTCGCAGAAATTAGCAAGATATTACCATGAATTAAGAGATAAATTCTAGTTTAGAAAGCAGAGACAACTGTGTGAGTTAACGTTCATATTTCAAAAAAACAAAAAAGGGGGAAGTCAAGGTGGTAAATAGAAGAGTTTTATTTGAGTATCAGAGTTATTCATTCTAGATTGCAGAGGTGATAAGTTTTTTGTATGGAAGCGGGTGTCAGGCTGTATAGACAATCCGCTCGCACCAGGCCTGGTCGGGCTATAGGCCCCCTACTGACTGTTACCGTCAGACAATAAATTGTGCCCTAAAAAATGTTATATTCTGATGTTATTTTTTTTAGGGCCTTCCATAGACAAACTGGAACTCTGCTCGCTGCAAAATGCACGACAACCTTTTCACTATTTATGGCCGTGTTACATAGAAACTCAAAGAAATTACCTTAAAGGCCGTTCGGCTTATTGTTGCACCTTTTTATTGGCGGAGCTGTTCGAGAATATTTCTTTCTATCACCAGTGCTTTTATCGTATGATTCGTATCCAGTGGCGATGCGATGCTAGTACTGGTAGTAGTGCTCAAGGGGTCGTTGTCGTAACAGGTACCCAGATATGTACCGGGCTAATCATATATGTATACACCAAAGTGTACCAGATTTGTACTACGAAAGTGTACCCTTAACCCTACCCTACACTAACCTTAACACCTAACCCACCCTAACCTACTCTAACCCTAACCCTACCCCTTAAACATACCTCATATAAAAAATATAAACATATATACTAACACCGTTAACTACCTCGGGTAATATTCTGTAAGTTACCTGTTACGACAACGACCCTTCGTGCGGTAGTAGTACGTTGTGGGATGCTGTAGTAAAGTGTGTTCAATCCTAGTTGGGACCTCGATATATATAATTCACAATATGGGCTTAATTGCTCCATTACTGGCATTAGGAGTGGCTTCCCAACTTCAGTCTTGATATCATTTAATGACTTTATGATATGATGCTCATTCTAACCCTAACCGCCTAACCCTACCCTAACCTAATGACATTTAACCACAAATAATATATGGACCATGACCAGTCTATATATATAATATTATATATTAGATATGTTATTTATGTACCCCCGCGCATATGTGCAAAAACTATCCGCCGGGTGCTAAACTAGAGATTGCGGCCGTAAAGTGCCTGGCGGTGTGATGCACTTGAGCGTTTGTGGAAGGGGTCTGTGTGTGTTTTGCAATGAAGAATTGCCACACTTTAACAAATTCCTCACTAAGTGCTGCAGCTTTATGGTCCTATTAGAACGGTTGATCGTAACGTTGCACTCCATGCCTGCTGTCACTTCGTCTCACAACAGTGTTAACCTTAAAACTACTGCTAATTAGTTCCTAGCACTCTATAGGTCTTCATCAAGGGATATTACAAAGCAGTACCCTCCCCTCCCAAAAATGCTCTGCTACGCGATATATTTGCATGTGCCTACTTAAATCCTCGGGCAACATTCCAGTAAGGCAACCAGGTGTCAGGCCAATAAATTCATATCATAATTCTTCTTTTTTCCTTCTCAATAAGCAGTCATGTTATCTTGCAATTGATAATTCATAGATAAATTTTAGGCTAGCAGTGTTACTTCTTGTGTGCTTTTTTAAAACACGCTTTGTAATTATCTATGCCTGGTGATTGCATTCTACTCATTTGCTACTGGTTTATTGTATTTACGTTTAACTGGTGAGAGTGATTGATAAACTGTCATGATATTGGCTTCTTCGTCGACTTGATTGTGCCGCTCTTGTGATGAACTTGCTCGTTTAATCTTAATACATTAGAGGGAATTGACTGGCAGACGATGTGTTTACAAGATAGTGCAACAATAGAAACTGTCCAAGCGTGAGTAGCATGCTTCAGTGGTCTGTTCTAGATATAAGGAACTACAGTAAAACTCGCATAAGTCGACACTTTTGGCCACCAGATATTTGTGTTCCCGACTTAGAAAATGACGACTTGCGCGTAACGAGGCCGTGCGCTGTTGGAACGAACTATTGTCTGTATTGCAGATTAATTTTCATGGAGTCACTACTGCGACTCTGATATGTCAAATTCAGGGTATTTTGACTCGTTCGGATTTTCGTGTTAATTTTCGCACCCTGCCATTGGGCTGCATAACTATATACACTGATATCAAGTCTATCAATAGGAGTAAGACAGACTCGTAACCGGCAAATGTCACATTTAGTGCCTTAGTCTACTTATGCATTTATTGGTGTTTAACTCGCATAAACTCTGAGCCCTCCATTTCAAACCATCACATCTCGAATACACCTCCTACAGCTTCCATCTTGGTATCTATGTGTACATAAATGTTCACTTGTTCGAATTATAACTCTGGCCTTTGTTGAATCTTACCTACTCCCGCCAGAGATATCTCGCGAAATCCTGCACTTTTTCATTCCCGCTTTCCTACCTGCTCTCTTATTCATGTTGTTTGTGCACGCAGCACAGCGCGGGCGGGCGTTCGGTGTACTTGTGTGTTGCAGATGAGCATTTGACCGGCATTTACAGGTGATCATAGGCGAAATAGAGTAGAGAAACATTAAGACTTTGGTACAGTTCGTGTTTATTTACCATTATTTTTTTTATTGAGACGTTCCAAGTGCCTGTGCTAATTACTATATTATTATTAATATATTACTATATACTAATACTATAACTTATAAGTATAAGTACTAGTATAAGTATAAGTTCTTCATTATCGTGTCTAGTAACCTTAACATTTCAGAATAACTATTGCCTTATTTCACTAACAGATCTAGAACAACAGGTTTTAACAGCTACGTATTGCAAAATGCCCCAATTCCAATCCTAACCATAAATATAAGAAAAGACGTGGCAAGCAACTTCAAGTTCAAGTTTACGTCCGCCATGTTGCTCGGCGAGACATGCACTTGGCTTAGACGGGTTTGCGTTCTTGTCTACAAGCTCAATATTATACAATGTACATAGATTGTTGCGCATTGACGTGTAGAATCGTGGCTGACCAGAAAATTAGGACCAATCTAACACCCGAGCAAATTTAGATGGGCCCTTTGTCTATTGTTTTATTTTGTTTTTATTGTTGTGTACGGCGATGGGACCAGTCTGCCATGATTGCCCTCTATCTTTTCTGGTTTTACGTGTTTGATGACCGCGTATGAACTTTGACTTTGTTGATGGTTTCAACTACTTGTGCAATGCCAATGGTTATCACTAATACTATCAGGGTTCAATGTTTACCAGCTCCAAATATAAATATATTCCTGTCGTAATACGGAGGCATACGTAGGAAGCGATCGCCTAGTGGTTTTCGTAGGTAAGTGAGTAAATGCATGATTATGATACGGAAAAGAACTAAGAAGGCTGTTCATAGAGATAGGCCTATACTATAGTCTATACTCCCATAGGCCTACTACTAGTACTAGTAGTAGTACTATAGTACAGTCAGATGATTCTGCATTCGGTTCAAGGATAGAGAACATGGGTCCCAATAAAACCAATGTCATTTACATCAATATAAATATAATATTATATCAATATAATAGGTTAGGGTTATGGTTAGGGTTAGAATTGGGGTTCTAGGCACATTGTCATTGCCATTGGTTGTATTGGGACCCATGTTCTCTATCCTTGGGCCCTGCATTCTAATTTCTATATCTATGACTCCGAGTATGTCTATGACTAGGCCCTATGGTTCATTTTATTGTATCGTTTGTAACTGTAGTCTGTACATATTAATTACTAATACTATATTAGCTATTACTATAATTTACTGTGTTGCATGGTTTGGATAACGACAATATCAATTTTAGCTATGTTGTCTCGATCATCCGAGTGTGATCGATTGTTCTCCAGTAGTGTGTCCAGTGAGTCGCGGTCGATTTTCGAGTCGGCAGGGGAGTCGCCTGATTTAAACATGTTTGATAATTATTTGAGCCAGCCGGCTGCAATCGCCTAGTGTGCCCGGGTCTGCGATCGCCTAGTGTGCCCGGGTCTGCGATTGAGCCGGCCGATTCATCAGCCAATTAATCAGCGTGCTGAAAATCCACAGAGTCGCCCGACTCAGTCGCGTAGTGTGTCCACAGAGTCGCCCGACTGAGCCGGCCGGCTCGATCGCATGAAAAATCCCGTAGTGTGTCCACAGCTTTAGCAGTGGTGATCTGTCTGCTTAATCAACATTGTCTCTCTCCAGAACTATAGGCTTGAGTTTAACGTGGGTGTGAGCAGGAATTGCTACCATATGCCAGTGATGATCTTGTAGAGGAAGACAAGATGACAGTCTTTTCTTGTTTCAGAGAGTGACTGCCACTTAAGGTCCTGGAGAATTGCTGTTACACTAGCTGCTATGTATGCAGTTGTCATTTCTGACAAAATGTTTGTGCCACTCGCCCTGCATTTTTTCCAGTTTTGTAATGTACTGTTTGAGGTATGATTCCCTTACCACTGAACAGTTAATTATTATCCGTGATTGATCTGACTATAGAGAGTCGTAGGCAATTTCAAGGTCGACCTCTAGGTACGGACGCTGAGGATGATAACTGCCAGAGTGATTTTTACATCCTCAGTGCGTGGTTCTTTGATATATATATATGCTTATGATATATGATATGGATTTGGCTTGATAATTGACACTGCAATTCAATAATGTGCATGGTATGCCATAGAGTTTATGTAACTATTTGTGCTTAACTTTCCCACAAAATATACATTGACCAGCATAACATACTAATATTTATCAATTTATGTAGCTACTCACATCTTCTAACGGAAAGTGACCATTAATTAATGAGCTTTTGCACTATGCTTTGATATGTCCCTTTCACTGATGAGCATGGGAGGAATGAAAGCTTATGTCACAGTAAAATTATTTTTGAATTTAATTATATTTATATTATTATGTTGCAGCTCTGTTACTTAATTATCCGGAGGAGTATAAATCTGAATATAGAAAGAGTAGCAAAAAGCTATAAAGTCTGAGTAAACACAATGGCGGAAGCATTAGCGATTGAAGGTAAATATATATTGGCTTATGTATATGAAATTATATGTAAAACCTTGCGAATCTAGTCTAAGCAAGTATATGGCAATGTAGACCTTATCATCTCATTGACCTTCTCTATTATTTTAGTCAATTACATCTTATTTAAACTGTAGAGTTGATTTTAAATAATAGTATTTAATTTGTGTAGGTATATTGTATTAACAACCTTATTTTACCTGTAAATTTGGACATATCTCTTTAATAAATTCATTACCTGATATTTTTGCAGTAGAAAATACATAGTGGATTAAAGCTAACCATAATGGTGAAACCCTTATTAGTGTATAGATTGACCTTAAAAATACATTCGTGCTTGTGGATGTTTGTAGGTGATGCGCCGGGTAACAATGATAATGATGAGCCAGGATCACCAGTGTTACTAGCTGATCCTAATGTTGGCCAAGCTACACAAGCAGATCCTTCCAGTAAAGCCAGCTCAACCGCTAAGGGAGCATGCAGGCATTTCACGGCACACGGAAAGTGTCGATTTGGAAAGCACTGCAGGTACCCCCACATCAAAGCGGAACCTAGTTTGGATGAAGCAAGAGCAGTTTTTTGGAATTCAGAGGAAACATTACCGCTAGACACAACACATGCTCACGTAGGCACAGACTCTCTGCATTCGCCAGCCCAAGAGGAGGAGAATGTCAGTGATGACAGTCCTGCTGTGCGTAATCCAAATAACAGCGGCTCTAATAAAACGAGAGGGGTATGCAAAATTTTCAGCCAGAGTGGAAAATGCAGGTTTGGCTCAGATTGTCGTTACAGCCACATGACAACCGACGGTCTGAATCGAGATGGTTCCATGCCCTTGAAAAAATGTAAACGTGAGCAGGAGAAAAAGAGTAATGATGGCGTTGTTGCTTCGAGCGATCAAGTGGGTGTTGAAGTTGCCAGCAGTGTAAAAGTAAAGAGCGGAAGTAGAATGAACGAGAAGGACAAGAAATTGTGCCGATATTTCCAACGAGGACGATGCTATTCTGGCCAGCGCTGTGCTTTCCTACACAAGCGTCCACCAAGTTATATTGAAAAGGAGAGCCAAAAAGACGTGCCGGCAGTAAGGGAACAGCCTGAGAGCAGTGTTGAATCGGTGGAAGGAAAGCCAGTCAGTGAAGCACCTACAATTGAAGTTGAAACTCCTGCCATGCAGCAGATGGATGCTTGTGAAGTGCACCCTCCACAGATGGAAGGAGATCATGCTAGACATGACCAGGCAGCTCGTCCTATCTCAAAGCGACAAGAACTTCACATACAGGTATAGTTTAAAACCAATCAAGGTAGAGATGCACCTGTCTAAAACCAACATTGGCAAGCAGTTTGTTTGCGGAGCAAAAAGAAATGGAATGTTAGTGTCTTGTTTTTAGCATTTTTCCCATTGCTGAGAATGTTAAATATCACAAGATTGAAAGTTTGTTTTAGTGCATAGTGTTTCAAGTATTGTAAGTTTTCATCGTTGATGAGTGGCAAGTTAAAAAAAAACTTAATCTTCTATGAGAGTTTTGCATCCTAATATAATTCAAAGTCGCAATGTTACTACATGATGTGGTGTGCGAAATGTTTATAGTAAACCGGCTTAGCCAGAACAATGGCGAGAGAATATTTATGTTGAATAATTATGTTATTTCTCAACAGGATTTGACGGAAGAAGACTTTACAAACCTTCGCAAGACAGAAATTACGCAGCTGCTGAAGCACTTTCCAAAGGGAAGGCTGGCTGTGGAGGAGATGGGTGGAGGAAGGACATACTACAGACTGCAGATATCACCCACAGATCCTGATTGGGTAGGAATAGGAAATCATCCGGTAGTGATTCACCTGTGGTATAAAAATCTATATAATCTGCATTTTCTGTCGACTAAATTATCTGCATAATTATTACGCGTCTGTGTCTGTCAGCATTTGCTGTAGTTTGTTTCTGTCATCTAGACCGATTTACATCTATATTGTTATTTCTTAAAGCCATATGACATGCAAGTTGTGGAGCTCTTACTATGGTTTCCAGATGATTACCCTAGGAAAGTAAGTGAATATTTTATTATATAGACATTCAGAACGACTACATCTAAAAAGCTAAACACAATATGCACCCATACTGAATTCGTAATCAGCATAACAATGATACATGTTTTTGTGTATTGTATAAGAATATAATAGCCCACATATATATATATATATATACATATATATATATATATATATATCAGGAGTAGATAATAAGGAAGGAGTGTGACTTCAATAAACAAGGGAAATTCGTCATTTACTAGTCTTAGAATACCTACGATTTACTACGCGTAACTCAACCAACTTGAGCTCAAATCGTACACAGTACATTCGCCCAGCATCGTGCGAAATCGTTTCCTCATATACACCCATGATCCGGAGATACAGACTAAAACGTACGACATGATTATCCATTCTGTTGCCATCAATCCGAATGTATTGTCCGCCTGACTTGAAACAAAGGGCAGCTACTAACGCTCGGCGATGCGGTGTGGCTCGCTGGGAGATTGGATCTGGAGCTGCTGCTGATTGCGGTGGGCGTGCGTGCGTAGGGCGCTACCGGCTGTATGGCGGTTATGCCGGTATGTACTGTATGCCGGGTCAAAGGTTATTCTCGCCGAGTTGTCAGTTCGACGCCCATGCGTCGAATATCCAATCTCCCAGCGAGCCACACAGCCATCGCGAGCGTCTGGCGAGAGTATGAGTCGTCTGCGCGCGTTACTCTGTTGTTGTCAAGTCAGCGGTACCGCCGCGGCGAGATGCGGCTCGATATAGCATCTGGGACTGTTGGGTGGGCACAGAATGAATAATCGATTGTCGTACGTTTTAGTCCAGCATCTCCGGGATCCGGGTGTATATGACGGAAACGGATTTTGTACGATTGCTGAGGCGAATGTAGCTGTGTCCGATTTTGAGGTCGAGTTGGGTGAGACTCTGTAGTAAATCGTAGGTATTCTTATCGGCTAGTAAATGACGAATATTCCCTTGTTTATTTGAAGTCCCACTCCTTTCCTTATTTATCTATCCTGTTATATATATATATATATATTATATATATATATATATATATAATATATGTGTGTGCTGTGTGTGCACTTGTGCCTATATATATATTTATGTGTGAGCTTACTTCGTCAAGAAACACCCATTGCTTTTACAGGAATTTAATGTGGAAATTTTGCCAGACCTCCAGGGGGAACAACAGATGCCAACTTTGACAGCCAGGTATATGAGGTTCTTATTAAAAGAAGAACCAATTTGCATATATTTGTATTACACATACGCGCACGCACACGTTCACACACACACACATGCACACGCACAGACACACGCACATGCACATGCACACACACATACACACCCACACCCACACCCACACCCACACACATAGCTAAAACTACATGACTACTGGTAATACTAGTACTTTTTGATGTTGCTGATATTTCTCCTGGGCAAACATAATATTTTGGTGAGTAGTAATGTACGTAACTATTTTTCTTGAAGATACATGACAGATAAAGTACAACAGTGGCTATCAGAAAGGGTATTAACTAATCAAGAAACAGGCAAGGTAGAGTTAATACTGAGGCTATTTCTACGCTGGTTTGACCGAAGTCTTGAGGATCTTGTCACGCAGGGGTTAAAACAAGTAGGTGTAATATGCATTAACCATGTGTTTGATAACCAAATGGTCTTACAAAGTACCACGTTTTTTCAAGAGAAAAGATTGGCTTGTTACAGTTATGTCATGCATAGACAATAAACTGTACGTGTATTTAATAGCCAAACAATTCTACAACGCACCATGCGTTTTCAAGAGGTGCCTACCTATTGAGGACTCGTAACCTGTGAGCTGTCATAATCTGAGGAATGTCCCTCATAATTGAATTATCAGTAGGTATACCTATGACAGCTCACATTGCACATTTGTCTGTCTTCAACCAGGTGAAGTTGGACATGGATGCCAAGGCTGCTGGCATTGAGGCCGTACCGTGGCAGAAACTGGTTGGCTCTCAGTCAACAGACACTGGCGCCATCTCTCAGAGCCAGGAAGAGGATGATGAAAAGCACCTGTCTGATGGAACAGCACCGTCGGCAGAAGGCGGGGACTGGAGGAGGGAGGGGCATGTTGCTATTTTGGCTGGCAACAGAGATGACAATAGTAGAACAGAGGACAAGGTGCACATGGATTTAGGTACTAGTATTTATTTTTATTCCAGTATCATTTTACGTAAATCTACATAGTATTGTTCAGCTGATTCGATTCTATCATGGTCTTGTAATGTAGAATAACTCCAGGGTGCGAAATTAATGGGAGTCTGGAGTCAAATACTCTCCGATTTAATGTCGTACTCCCTGATTTGACATATGCAGGAGTCCGTGTGACTCCCTGAAAATTTTGCCATACTAACTGCAATCATAACTAGTTCGTTCCGGAGCACGGCTTTGTGGAATTACTATATTTTTTCAGATAATGTCCAAAGAAAATTTGGCAGGCGTGCAACCGCATGAATCTTAAAAATAAGCACATGCGTTATTGTTAATATCTTTAATTTTGAACCTCAGACTGCGGATTCTCTCATTTTTTCTGCGGACTCCCTTTTTTTGAGGGTAGGGGTTGGACTCTTGTGTTCAAAAGTTAATTTCTACCCCTGAACTCTAATAATTGCATCAACATGGTTATCTTTAGCAGAACAAAAATCTGGTCGAAGTGAGAAGGAGAATATGCGACCTTTAACTAAAGCCGATACGATGCCCAAGGGAACCCAAGTCAAGCTGAGCCGTTTTGAATTGAGCGAGACAGTAGCCACTATCATTATACAGAAGGTTAGAGCTGCATGTAATACCTAGCTATAGGATCATAGTCACTCTACGTCAACAAGTCTATAACTATTCTCAAGAAATTAACTCATTTAGCTTTTTCTACATGTGCATTTTGATGGTCAGAGAAATGATGTAATCATTTACCGTTGTTAAAGTGATAAGTTCAAAAGCTGCAAAAATGGAGAAGTTAAATGTATCTTTATCGATAATCAGTACTAGCAAGAGTAGGTTGTTTGGTAGTTTTAACAAGGGTTTGTAGTATATCTGAGTTCATATATGCAACTGGCATATCACTGGTGCTGCGTGTGCGCGTGTCTGTGTCTGTGTGTGCGTGATTTTGTGCGTGCGAACGTCTGACCTCGCAGCAAGTGAATCGTTTACATGTTTTCCTGCCTCCGTCAGGTTGTGCTGGTGCTGCGGTGCGCGCGCTGCAAGGGCCAGCAGCCGCTGAGCACGCCCGCTCGCAGGAAGAATGTCATCACGTGTCAGAAGTGCAGCCAGCAGCTGATCGCGGTGTTCCGGCCGAGCATCGTGCACCAGTACTCGCCCGTGCTCGGTCACCTTGACCTAGACAACTGCGTGCCCTTCGACATGGTGCTAGTTGACTGCGAGTTTCTGCTGTGTTGCCTCGAGTGCTCCAAGCAGATGACGATATCGGTGAGTGCCCCCGACCAACCGGCCGGCCCATTCGGCATGTTGCATCCAGTTGCTTTGTCGACTGGGTGAATTGATTTAAAGCGATTGTCGTCGTTGGTTATCTGAGAGATCTGCGATTAACAGATAAAGGTGCTATATGCTGCAGTACTATTTTCCACTCAAATATCATTGGAATTTGTTAGGTCATGGGGATATTGCGTGGTTTCGGTGTTGTTTCTTATTGCTATTGTTATTATCACTGTCAGCAGTGGTGCAACCTTGACCATAAGTTTGTGCTTTTTATATAGGGTTTACATTTTGGTCAAAATAAAGACACCTGGTGTCACCATTGCCATACCAAGATGACAGTTATGTTCGAGACAGTGAAATATCAGAAACTTCAGCCAGGAGAAATTACAGGTAGGTCATGTGTTAAATTACATAATCACGTTGTCGCTCAGGTCAGGATGTCATAGGGTAAGTATTATATCTGGTAATGTCTAATAAATTATGCAATACAATTACGCTTATGTAAAAAACAAGTATACATATTGTATAACACGTATATAACTTGTATATTATAATATTGTATAACTCTGGTTGATAATATATGCAATTCATCACCACAAAAGTTTAATTCTATCAATGTACTCTGTTAGCAGATTAAATTTTGAACCAATTTGGTTTCAGTTTACTTACATTTAGTCCTTGCCACTAACATTGCCGGTGAATATCTGTGTGGAACTGATAGTATTACTAATAATACTCAGAAAATAGGACGTAGAAGAGTAATAAATATATTATATACCAGGAACAAATATATATATATATCAAGAGCTAATAATACCTAGAGTGTACAACGGAAAAACGGGAAAATAGTGCTATTTCACGACAACATTATTCTACTTTGCCTGCGAGTGTATAATAATTTCATGGTATTGCATTAAGCAGAATTATTTCTTCTCTCGCATGACGGTGCCACATGCGTCACATTATTAACTTATTAACTGCCCCGTGCGTCGGACACCACGCGGATCATCTCATAGCGCTCCCCTCTCGGTTGAAGTTTCTTCTCTCGCATGACGGGGCGTCACCTTATTAACTTATTAACTGCCCCGCGCGTCCGACACCACGCGGCTCATCTTGCGTCGGCTGATGGCGACCAGCTTGAGCAGCTGCGCCATGAAGTTGCGGTTGAGCAGGCAGTAGATGAGGAAGTTCGTCGACGCGCCGACGACCTCGGCCGAGTTCCACAGCGCGACCATGATGAGGTAGAGCTCGCTGCCGTCGCACAGCGTCGCCGGGTTCATGACGAGCGCGGTGTTGACGAGCGCGCTCACGCCGGCCACCATCTGCGTGAAGAGCGACGCCGACACGACGACGAGCAGCATCGCCGTCAGGCGGCGCTCGTTGTACGCCGTCGGCGGCGCCGACGCGACGCTCCGCGCCTCGGCGTGCACTCGCTGCGAGCGGCGGAAGCGCGCCAGCAGCAGGCCGCTGAAGAGCGCCGTCGCGCACCACGGCAGCACGTGCACGAGCGCCGTGCGCGCAAACGTGTAGCCGACGTAGCCGTGGCTGCACGCGAACTCCGTGTGCATGTAGATGCCGCTGCACATCGCCGCCGCGTCGTCGCTGGCGTTCGCCGGCGGGCAGCAGCTGGCGGCTGTCGTCTCGCTGTCCGGGTACGTGCAGATGAAGTTGAAGGGCACGTGGAAGACGACGGCGACGAGCGTCAGCACGCCGACGACGGCCGCCGCCGACCGGCGCCGACACCAGAGCTTGGCGCGGAACGGGAAACGCGTGAACACGTAGCGCTCGACGGTGACGGCCGTCACGGTCCAGATGCTGAGCGCGGCGAGCGCGTTATTCAGCATCATCATCACGCGGCACTCGTACGTCACCTGCACGCGCGTCGGGCAGGGCTTCACCCGCGCGTGCAGCAGCACGGTGTTGAGCAGCATCGGCGCGGTCGTGGCGAGGAAGAGCCCGTCGATGGCGGCCAGCGCCAGCAGGTAGATGTAGGAGGAGCGCGCCGTGAGCTTCGACGCGACGAGCACGACCATCGTCAGGCAGTTGCCGACGAAGCCGAGCGTGGCGAAGATGAACAGCGTCGAGTAGATGCCCACGTACTCTCGCCTGCCCGAGATCCAAGCCTCCGCCATCGCCAGCGGCAGCGGCAGCGACACCTGCCGTTCACCAGCGTCGACGCAGCCTCACACGAGAGGGCGTAAACATCGGTGATAAAACTTCAATCATATACTACATCAAAAGCACTATGTTTATGTGCTGTAAACTGCATGTACGACAGTTTTACGTGCTTTTAACCACGTGGATCAGCAATACTGCACAGATTGTTGCAGGCATGTGCTGTGATTCGACAGCCAACTCTTTCGGGTGCAGCTTAGCAGTCTCACCTTGTAAATCTTGAAACTATGCAAATGCGGCATTGCAAAATGAGTAAATCTAACTATATATGTGTAAACACGAGAGCATTTATATCGTATAAGACTCCTCAGTTCTACATATAAACATGCAAAAATGTGAAATATGTGCAGATGATAATTCTTTCACATTAGTTGCGATAAACTTGCTACACAGTCACACTCTCGTCATGCATTTTTCATTGACTTCATAGGAGAAGGTCCAGTGCACACGGTGGGACCCAAGAAACAGAAGAAGCCAACAGACGTAATCATAAAAGAAGGACAACCACTCCCCGATAATGGCACATGTAAACATTACAAGAAGAGCTTCCGCTGGTTAAGGTAGGATGCATTCAAGCATTGCTATTCTAGTTCTGAATTTTATTCCTTGTATGTTGTCCAACAAAATCGTGAGAGAAATTCTTGTGATTCGCTGACTGGTTTCTATGCTCCCTGTAATACCTTGAGCTGTTAATGACAGCAGAAGGTGGTATCACAATCAACGTGTGATTTGTGATTTATACGGAGCTTTATTAGAGTGGCGTTTATTAATCCGCATTCTCCAATCTGAAAAGTGTTTGTTCAGCATTTATCGTGTACTTGGGCAGGTGACGCTCATAACTTAAAATGCCTGCCTGCTTACCTTGGCAGTAATTATGCCGATAAATCACGATAGGGTTTATAGTGCGAACAGCTGTGGCGACAAAAATGTGGTACGGGTATATTGTGTGAGATTAAGCTAGAAAATGGGAGGAAAGCTAGCTTGTTTGTTTCATATTCCTGTGATGTGTCCCTTTCTGTGACAAATTGCAACTATCATCCCGAATAATAGCCTTGTCTTAAGTGGACGTGACATCTGTTGACAATTACACGTACCTGCCTCACCTTGTGTTATGGTTCCTAAAGAAAAAATATTAGAGCGATCATTGCAAGTCAATGCACATGGAAATGATTTCGTGTGTGCATATCATTTAGAATAATATCACCAGCACAAAATCTTTTATCCCAAACGATAAAAACATACGCGAACGAAAATGAACACATAAATGCCGAGACTCGGGTTCTCCTTGCGCTATAGCTACACGCGATAATAGCCAAGTAAGTATTGTATGTAACTGGACGCCGGTTGCTTGGGAGTTGGCAAGCGGTTGTAGGTGTGTAGCCTAGCTGTGTGTGTAAAGTTGTACTAAAGACTAGTCATCATTCCATACCGTATCTGCGGCTGCTATAGATTGGTTTGAGACCGTGCAAAGGAACATCACAAGAGCTACCTCTCGCAATACAGCATAAGCTTCGAGGATTGCTCACGATGGCATCACTTGGTTGCTAGCGGGGCAGTTGAGCATCGGCCTCGCAGTAGGGAGCGGCGTGCTCAGCTGCACGTTGACGGTCGGGCGCGAGCGCACGTCGTCACCGCCGCTCGGCGACCGGACGGCGATCGCGGCGACGCTACGCTGCTGCTGCGACTCGCTCTGCAGCGGCGTGGCGGCGCGCGTGCAGCCGCAGTACGGCCGCAGCGCGCTCATGAAGTTGCGGTTGAGCAGGCAGTAGAGAAAGAAGTTGGCGCAGGTGCCGAGCGTCTCGCACATGTTCTCGACGAGCGTGAGCGTGTTGCGCAGTTGGTCGTTGCTGACGCCGATACCGTGATTCGTCACCGCCGACGCCATGTTGAAGAGCAGGCTCTCGAAGACGACGGCGATCAGCATGACGGTGAGCCGCACGTCAGACCGCCGGGTGGCGCCACCTGTCTTCTTCGAGCGGCGCACGTTGGCGAGCAGCAGCGAGTTGAAGACGACAAGCGCGAGGAGCGGCGCTGCCTGCATGAGCACGACGCGCGACCAGCGGTAGCGCTCGTACGCGCACGTCATCACGAACGTCGTGTGGTTGGCGATGAAGCACTCTCCGGCGTCCGTCGTCGCCGCCGCGGGAACGCGCATCAGGTAGAACGGCGTGTGGAAGACGAGCGTCGCCGCCGCCGTCGCCGCCATGATGGCCCAGGCGACCGCCGGCGTGCAGTAGGGCCGCGACGTGACGGGGAACTGCGTGAATGCGTACCGCTCGGCGGCGACGATCGTCACGAGGAGGATGCTGAATCCGGCGATGGCGTTACCGAAGGGCATCGTGACGTAGGCGAACAGCGACGCATACCAGCGGCCCATGCAGTGGCCGCTGTACGCCAGCGCGCGACCGACGCTCGTCGGCAGCATGACCACGCAGTAGGCGGCGTCGGAGAGCGCGAGGCCCGTCAGGTAGGCGTAGGACGAGACGCGGCGCAGCTTGGCCGAGCGCAGCAGCACGGTGGCCGTCAGACCGTTGCAGACGAGACCGAACACGCACAGCACGGCGATGACCGAGTACACGATGACGGACTCCGGCGATAGCACAGTGGCGCCACCGCTGCTGGCGGGGTCATTGCCTCTCTCACCGCTCGCCGCAGCCATGTTGTTGTCTCTCCACTTTGCACACTGGATCGCTACACCACACCAGTTACCTTCACGGCAACACTCTTATCTCTACACGCTGCACCGAATCTCTCTTTACACTGCTCTCGATCTCTCTAGACTATACTGGAACTCCCTAGAATGCAATGGATTTCTTCACTCTATGCTTGATCTTCTTTGCTCACGACACTGAATCCCTCTACACTACACTGGTTCTCTTGAGTCTTTGCACTACGCTTGGTCTATCTACACTGCTCCGGAACTGTGTGCACTACACTAGATCTTCTTTCCACATTTCACTGGATATCTCCACACGACACTGAATCTCTCTCCCCACAATGCAAGACGATGACGGCGACGACGGCACTGGATCTTTCTACACGGCTTCTCCAACCTGCTTTATCTTCCCTTCTTTCGTAGATAACTGGCTCGCTGTCTCTGCGAGCGAGGAATGCAACTGCGTGTACTGTGTGCAATGTAGCCTACCTGGTGTGAGAGTGGGATTGAAGATGAGGTTTGGGCCGGGCGCGTCGAGTCTTGTGCGATTTTCGCTACGCAGAGGGCGTTTCGGACGCCTTGCCACGTACCTTCGTGCTGTGATGCGCGGCGCGAATGCCAGATGGCAGCTTCGCATAGCCGAGCATGTCGGCAAACACGGGTGCGCGCCGATGGCCTTCACAGCTGAAGCACACTCACTCACCGCAGCCTCTCGTTCACGCCTATACTAAATCATCTGTACCTGCTGGCGGCAGGGACATAAACGCGAGCCCACCGCGTTATGCAGCGTGTTGCTGCCTGCCTGCCTGCCTGCCTGGCTGGTTGGCTGCCCGCCTGCTTGCCCGCCTGTCTGTCGGCCCGCCCGCCTGCCTGCCTGTTTGTCGGCCTGCCTGGCTGCCTACTCGCCTGCCTGCCAGCCTGCTTGCCTGCCAGCCTGCCTGCCTGCCTGCCAGCCTGCCTGCTTGGACCAGCGGTGAAAAAATAAGAGATAGAAAGCCTGCCCTGCTGCCAGCGCTGCCTGCCAGCACTGCCTGCTCAGCGCTGCCTGCCTGCCAGCCTGTGCCCTGCCTGCCAGCCTGCCGCCATCCTGCCTGCCTGCCAGCCTGCCTGCCAGCCTGCTGCCAGCGCTGCGTGCCTGCAGCCTGCTGCCTAGCCTACCTGTCCGCCTGCCCATGCCTGCCTGCCCGCCTGCTTGCCTGCTACCTGCCTGCCCTGCCTGCCTGCTTAACCTGCCTGCCTGCCTGCCTTTTGCCAGCACTGCCTGCCTGCCATATAGAATGCCTAGCCTGCGCGCACTTGCCTGGCCTACCTGTCCGCCCTGCCTGCCTGCCGCGTGCCGCGTTGCTTGCATGCGAGCAATGCAGGTACGCGAGCTGTTGGAAGATCCTTTAACAGTATACATATATAATCATAGATGTGTGTGTTGTGTGTGTGTGTGTGTGTGTGTGTGTTGTGTGTGTTCGTGTGTTTGTGTGTTTGTGTGTGTGTGTGTGTGTGTGTGTGTGTGCTTTGTGGTTTGTGTGTGTGTTGTGTGTGGTGTGTGTGTGTGTGTGTTTGTGTGTTTGTGTGTGTGTGTGTGTGTGTGTGTGTGTGTGTGTGTGCGTGCGTGCGTCGCGTGCGTCGCGTGTCGTGTTGTGTTGTGCCAGTCTTGTAGGCGTATGATCATCACAGCAAGCGAGCTACAAGTCTGTGAACATATTAAATCGACTTTAATTAAGGCTTAAGATTGGGGCCCGCGAATATTTTAGTGAATTATGGCTACTGGACATCACAACCCGTAGAGCACTTGGCGTACTGTTGACATATATACGCGAATGTAGAATCGGTAAGTGCATGAAGTTAAAATCAACAAATCGGAGTTTGAGTAGTGGCATGGCTGCCAGATCCGAGTTTTGCTCTGTTTTGTCCGCCGTATCAGGACAAAATACCCCCCGGACAATTCACACCTCGACCGGACAATTAGGCGTCTCCGGAACAATTATCCCCGCATATCACATCACACATCAGAGACAATGTACGCCCCCGTCATCACCCCCCGGACAATTAGGACCCCGGACATTTACCCGACATTAAAACCGGATAATTTACGCCCCCGGGACATTTACCCCCTGGACATTTTACGATCCGACATTTACGCCCCCCCCCCGCACAATCACACCCCCCGGACATATTACCCCCCCGCAGAAATTACCCCCGAATAACAAGTTTACACAGCCCGGACATCTAAGAACTTACACTCACGTAATTGAGTAAGCACTAGAGGAACGACATTATGTTTTTGATATGTGAGATAGATATAGATTATTAGAAGGCACGACAGCCTAAACTTGGATCAAAGCTTGTGTGACTTAATTATTTTCCAGTAACTTGTATAGAGCGTGCGGCGGCTTACCTCCTGTGTCAGTCGGCTACATGGGCAGTTAAATAGATATTATATCACCGCACAGACATCATATTTATATATGCATGAAGATTACAGTTTATACTGCGATCTCGTGATAGCTAAGTAAGTTCTCATTACATATGATAGTGGGAGCGTATATGCTAACAAAAGATCAGAGATAGATATTCATGCTGAAAATAATATATAGATAGAACGCGTGATACGCGTGATATAAGCTGCGTTCACACGAAGGAGAAAGTTGCGTTCACGACGCTAAAATATACGCGTTGCTTACAGCGGCTTGCTTAGCCGCGAATCTTCCGGCTTGCTAAGCGCGGAATCATATTCCGCGCCAAAACTAAGCCGCGTAAATATTCGCACCAACGCTGGCCGGTATTGATTGTCGTGTGAACGTTGTGTTAGCTGCAAGACGTTAGGGTACGATATGACTTAGAAGGGTACCAGTGCTAATTTATCACCGCGGCGCTAGCTAAGCCCTCGAATCTGCGTGTATCTCCGTA